CTTTGACCTCTCTGTAACCGGGACAACACAGAGCCTGTATCCACACACACACACACACACACACACACACACACACACACACACACACACACACACACACACACACACACACACACACACACACACACACACACACACACACACACACACACACACACACACACACACACACACACACACACACACACACACACACACACACACACACACACACACACACACACACACACACACACACACACACACACACACACACACACACACACTATATTTGATGTGTAGAACTCCCTCTGGAGGAAACACACATGTATCCTCTGCAGACCTGTAGAACACCACAGGATATGGACTCAGAAAGTTCTTCATTTCTTTCAGACCGGTTCATCTGTTCACAGACTCACAAAGTGAAACACAACTCGTCACACTGCTGATGAGAAGAGAGACAACACAAGAGACGGACAGGAAGATGGAATGAAGACAGAAAGAAGTCAGACTGAGAACAACGAGACACACAAACTCAACAGACCCCAATAAAGACAGGAAAGATAGAAAACTGAAAATCAAATAAAGGCTTTGGAGAAAATAACTGGACAAATACAGAGTTTGGACTCAGTTCTTAAGAGAAGACTTTTCAGTTCCCATGTGGACCCCAGAGAGGGGAGTTAGAGGGGGGAGGGGGGTCTCAGGAGCCAGGTGGTCTGAATACCCCCCCCCCCTCATCTCCCCCAATCTCAAGAGGCGTTCAGGGCCCGGCTGCTCGGGATTAACCTGAAGAGGGTCTGAGGGACTGAAAGGAAGCAGGAACCATTAAAGGGGGGGTTACATGGTTTAGTGTCCCCCCCCCTCAGTCAGAGACCTGTTGAAGCCACAGGTGTTTCTACCTGAGGAACACAGAACATCTGCAGAGGTCTGGAGTAAAGAAGATAAGATGTACTTTATTCATTCATGATGTTGCAGCAGCGGAACTAAACTATTCTGAAATAGAAACATCTCAAAATAGAAATAGAAATAAAGCAGCATTAGAGTAAGAAGAATAGACAGCTGACCGTGAAGATAACACATCTATAAACTGTCTGACAAATACAAAATAAATGTCCTTAATAACATGTTACATTGAAGTGAAGTATTATATGTTCTGAGCAAAAGTAAATGTGTTGTTGTTGTTGTTGATCTGTCCCGTTAGAGCAGTGTTTCTCAAACTTTTCATACCAAGGACTTAACCAATAAAAAAACACTCGCGGACCACCTAACTCCACAAATATCAAAAAACACATCGTTTTTCTAGAACAGATTACAAATCGCCTGAAAATGGTACAAACAAGTGGCAACATGTGTGACGAAGGTGTTGCGCTGGGCCATATCATGCAATTGAAAGTGAAACTTAACCTCACTCCATTGCAGAGATATTCCCGCGAGAGTGCGGAAAACTGAAATGAATTAACGTGGTGTACTCTGAGCGCAGAGGAAACAGACTTCTACGCGGGGAAACTTGTGCGTCTTTTTGTAACGAACATGACACACACATGAAACGGTCAGTCTGTGGCAGTTCAGTGCACTGTCAAATGAATAGGCATGTAAGTAAACACAGGTCAGTATACAAGATGATACGTGGAGAACAAAGTACAGACATCTAGAAGAAATCAACATAAATAATTACACCAGGTGTCCAAAGATGCCTCAAAAATAAAAAAGCATAAAAAAAGGGACTTTAACTCGATGAGATAATGTTATCAAACGGGTGAGACTGTAGCTGTCTATCTATTTCATGAAAGACCTACATTTTTTTAATGTTATGAATGCATGGGAGTAGAATAAAGATCAGAGCCTAAAGACCGTCAGGGAGGAAACTCTTCTTCGGTGGTTTTTCTTAATTAAAGACGCAAAAGAAAAAATGACCTCCAGACTCAGATTATAGGAAAGTTCAGATAACAGATACTTTATTAATGCCGAAAGGTTTTAGTTACAGCAGCATGTACAACTAAGTATTGCACATAATTAGACATATCAAAAACTGTAGAAAATACGCATATATACAATATAAACATCTCAAAATAGAAAGTTAAAATATAAAAGTTGGCCGTGAGAAAAGATCTGTAAATATCTGACAATGAAAACACTAGACGGGATGAATCACAGCTAACACGATACAACAAAGCGGCATTTAGTGAGCAAGAATGGAGCATTTTAAACACACATGTCAAACTCAAGGCCCGGGGGCCAAATCAGGCCCGTGGTGGATTTAATTTCGGCCCGCAGGATAATTTCTAATTCCTATTAGATCTGACCCGCCGGTATATTGCACGCACACCTTCACTCCATCCTGAGGGTCTCCTCCGCTCAGAGCCTGAGCCCAAACATTGATGACCTTGCACCCAAGATGAGATGCCAAGTATCTGAACTAGCATCACAGAGCAGCACACTGAGTTTAATGGATGTTTCCTTCTGCACTTTCTCTCAGGACAGCAGGGCATGTTTGGTTTTCTCTTTGAGGGGAATAGTTTTGTTGAAGCTGTTGTTGGCCTGTGGGGAAAAGTAATCATAAGAAATGACTCAGAAAAGCTGCAGATAGAGCCATAAGAAATGAATGCAACTGATTATTTAATGTTGTTTTTATAGGCAATCATTTAAGCTTTGTTAGTTCCAGGTTTAATATGTGCAATAAGTTCATTTCAATAAGTTCTGCAATAAACATTGAACTAGTCCGGCCCTCGACTAGTAGGCCTATACCCATGTTTTTATTTTGGCCCACTTGAGTTTGACCCCCCTGATTTTAAAGGAAAATAAAGATCTGAATTACTATATTTTTTGCATATTTTTTACATGTTTTTACAGGAAAATATTTGTAATTGAAAGAAAACTAATTATTAAATACATTACACTCTTTAGGAATACTGGATAAAAAGTAGTTTGTAATAAAGGCATTAAACAGTAAAGAGGACTAAAAGATAAAGAGTTAAATCATAAAGTACATTAATTAAGGGATATTATAAGAATTAAAATCGCCTTTTGGTTAAATTAAATTAAAACGGTGTCTTTATATTAAGCACAACACGACTTTAGTACAATTAATTACACATAAATTCGTTATGAATAGCCATTACACCGTAAGGGAATATTAAGAATAATTCTGTATTATACCATCACAAACTTAGGCATAAAAATAATATAGATGTCTTATAATATCGGCTGTAATAAATAGTAGACTTTCTATATTAAACACCTGTAAAAATCAGCTGTTTTTCTCCCGGTGCTCCCGGTCCTCTCCGGCGGGGTTTCCTCTCCTCTCTGCCCGCAGAAGCAGCTCTGATCCCGGCTGCAGATCCGCGGAGGTCCCGCCCGGTCCTCTGGAGCTCCGGAGAGAGAAACAGAGACCCGTTTATAATCAGTACCGAGAGAGCACGTGGGGTGACGTTAGGTGACGTAAGGTGACGTGATGCACAGGTCAGCAGGTGATTGGCTGCTCGTTTTACAGGTGCATTATATTTATTATAATGTGTTTATTGATTTATTAATTAAAGAGGAACATACGGTGAGATATGAAAGTAATTAAATTCATATTGAAAGTTAAAAGGTTTGAGAGAAAGGTTTAAATTAACGAAAAACGAGGTCCGTTGACTTTAATTAATGTCATTGTTTGATTTTATGGGCTTAAAAATACCCATAATTTATTTTTCTGTGATTTAACAAATACGATCCCATTATTCGTTGTTTCTTAAATAAAAAATTATGAAAAATAAATAATTTTGAGGTTAAAATCAAGAAATTCTCGCCGTTTTGACTTTTTCTGAATCGAAAAATGAGTTATCTTCCACTTTTGTCAGAAAAAGAGACATGCATATTAAACATGAATAACACCTTTATAATTTGTTACTATCATGAATAAAGTGTAAGATGGTAAATGTAACATCGTAAAATTGAGTGTTCATTTACAAAAAACACTGAATCTGCGTTTTAAAATATATTTTTTGACGTAGAACTCAACTTTCGAAACTCCTATAAACAAAACAATAAATTAAAACTTAAGTAAGTTATAAAAAAGGGAATATAACTGCGGCTTCATTCAACTCCATTCATGCGTAATTGGATATGAAAGTGACTTGTGCGCAAAACAGGGGAAATTAGTGAAAAGAGGTCAAAATTAATACAAATACGAACAGCAAGTTTTAATGTATAATAAACTACTTTTCCAAACAATAAAAGTTCAAAAAATGTAAAATAAATACAAATATGGAGGAAAAATATTAAACTTTCATAACTGCTTATTTTTGTATGACTGACTGACGCCATTACGCATAACGAGTTTTACTTTTTAATATATTTCGATGCAAATACTTGAGTAAAATATCGAATATTGGAGTTTATTTGTAACAGAGTATTTTTACGATTAGTTTTTGACACTTCAACTTCTTCTTGTATTTTGTGCCTCCTTTTATTTAGATCCAAACCTCACGAAACAAACACATCCGCGGAAGAAGAAGAAAGAAAAAAAGTAGGTCCAAACATTTAATATATGATTCTGAAATGGGCCATTACGCACAACGAGTACTTTTGGCATATCTCGATGCCAATACTTAAGATACGGAATATTGGAGTGTATGTTGTGCCTCCTCGTGTCATTTTGGTCCAAACCTCACAAATCAAATATATCCGCGGAAGAAGAAGAAAGAAAGTTCACCTCTTTTAAAGTTACTGAAAACAAAACAACAGAAGCAGTAGAAAGTAAGTGTAAGATATAATATGATTCACAACGAGTACTTTTACTTTTGGTACATCTCGATGCCAATAATTAAGATACTGAATATTGGAGTGTATTTGTATTTTGTTCCAAATCTCACAAACCAAACACATCCGCGGAAGAAGAAGAAAGAAAGAAAGTAGGTCCAATCCATTTTCCTCCTCTCACCTCTGTAATGCCAGCTCTCTATTGTCGGTGTCGCTCCGCCTCTCGGAGTTAAGCACAGCTCCTCCCGGTCAGCTGTATTTTCTCCCCGGGACGCAGCAGCAGCAGAAGAAGAACCGGAGGGAGGGAGGGAGTCTCCGGGACAAAACCCCCCCGTCACATCCAGGCAGAGCGCACCATGTCATTCAGCCCCAAACACTCCACCTCCACCTCCACCCCATTCTCAGTCAGCGACATTTTGAGCCCCATGGAGGAAAGTTACCGGAGGTTCGGCGGGATGGAAGCCGCGGCGGGGAGCCTCTCTTACCGGCAGCCTCAAGTCTCTCAGCCCGGTACGCAGCAGCACCTCCATCACCACCACCACCACCATCACCACATGTCCTCCTCTTCATCCTCACCCTCCTCCTCCTCTTCCTCAGCAGCAGCAGTGGGACCAGGGGGACCGTATCACCACCACCACCACCACGTCCCCGCGGGAGTGCCGCAGTTCTCCGGGGCCGTTGGAGGATTCTGCGGCGGAGGGATCGGCACCGTGGGAGACTTGCCGTCCTACCAGGAGACGGTACGCGGAGGCGGGGCGGCCTGGTACAGCACCCCGGAGCCCCGGTACCAGACAAGTAAGAGCAGATTGAAATACAAGATTACTTTTATTTATATCTCAGGTTTTTGCAGCCGCCTGGAGCCCCGACTTTTCTTTAAATCTCTGGTTTTAAAAAGGAAGATAATGCTTTTACGCACGATGGAAACACGCGTAATGTTTGTTGGCCTGGTTCAGCAACCCGGAGCACCAAACCAAACCAGTAAGAGCAGCGTTTATTATTTTAGATCGGAGGGTAAGTCAACATGACAGAAGAAAATGAACGGTGGCACGCGTTATTGTATTGTTGTATTGTATTGATTATGTACTAACACAATCATAGGATTCATTTATATGTTGTCATATTGATCTTTATCTAGGTGTTTTTTTTTATAGCCGTCACCATTTATTAAGAGGCTAATCCATGTGAGCCCCGAAACCTGAGAGCAGCTTTAAATATAACTTTATTTTAAATCTGAGGTTTTAAAAAGGAAATAATGCGCTTTTACGCACGATTGAAAAAGGCGTAATGTTCCCAAAACGTGTCCAAACTTAAGCGTTCTTTATATTTTATATAATATCTGTATTTCTACTATTATACACTACAAACAGGCCTTTTCACAATGCAGTTAAACTTTGATTTTAAAAGTATGAAGCTTATATTCTGAGCAGCAGTGAAATGAAATAAGACGATGAATAAAAAGTGATAATAAATAGATAATAATTGCAAAAGTTTCTGTGGATTTAATAACTTATTATTAATGATCACAGTGAGTTACCACAGTGTGTCTGGTCCTCCAACATTTCTTTAAATGTTTAATCTCTTTTAATATAAAGGTGTACAGATGAACAGCTCCTATAATACTTTAATTAAAGTCACTCAATTATCCGTAAATTATTTTGAAGATTGAAAGATTTTTTTCACTAAAATGTCTCATTTGATTTAAAATCGCATCGTTTCCTAATAAAAAATACGTATTAATAAAAAGCCATTAAATGCATTTACCTGTCTGAAATCTAACATCCTTTGTTTCGAAACTCACAATGAATAACCCTCCTCTGTTATATTAAGATTAGATTAAAATAGTGCACTTTGCATCCAACCAGAAAGTGCAAGGAGTAAATAAAGTGCACGAGGTTACAGAATATCCTCCTATTGATCACAGCGTCACAGTAGATGCATATTAAATAAATACTTACGAATGAGGTGTAGGGTTAGGGTCTAGGCATGTCGATGTTATAATGCAACATTAAGTAAGACGGGCCTAACAGTCTAATTGTACGAAACATAACATAATTAATTTGACCCTTTATTTAATCCTTAAATATATAAAAGAACAAGCATTACATCCTCCAATACCCATATCATCTAAAAGGCTTTAAAGAAGATGTTTGATTGAGTTCTTTATCCATAATTGTTTCCTAATTAACAAAAGTATAACAAACGATTTATTTGATAATGTTCAACGATGTGATTATTACTCGTTTTTAAAGGTTATATAATTCCCTTTCTCTCCCCTTTAATTCCTCCTTAAAGGCACTCGTTTTCTAATTCAAACTAACATGTGTTAAAAGCCTTTAAAGCAGGGGTGTCAAACTCAAGGCCCGGGGGCCAAATCCGGCCCGTGACTTCATTTAATGTGGCCCCACAAGAGCCTGCAAATAATATAATATGTTTACTATACGGTTACATGCTACTTTACAGAAGCACGCTGCCCATAAACTACATGTCCCACAATGCATCTCAAGTTTGACTTTTCTTCTCAGAATCTGACTTTTTTTTCAAAATGTCACTTATTTTTATTTTTGACTTTTCCAGAATTTGGCTTTTCTTTTTAAATCATTTTGTGACATTCTCACTGAAGAGATTTGTTAAGTTATTACCCTATCCGATAATAATCCAATGCAGACGGCAATAATGTAATATAATACATTCTTTTAAATATATTAAATATTTATATATGTATTTTTGTATGTATATAAAACCGGCCCTTTGAGTGCGATGTGATGCTGATGTGGCCCGAGATGAAATTGAGTTTTGACACCCCTGCTTTAAAGAATCCAGACCATAATGTTTTCCAACACATTCTCACTCCAAACTCGTACTATAGGGACGTTATGTCAGGATCCCTTGGCGTCACTATTAAACGCAGTGGGGCCCTTTAGCGTCGATGTTCAACGATCAGGGCGTCCCGTAAACTTGCATAGAGCTCGCTGAACGTTGGGATCGCGGAGAAATGCTCTTCACAGACCCATTCTCACTGCGTTTATCAACCTTTTTCTTACTCAATATCAAGCCACACTTATTGTTTCTATACTTTATTTTAATTGCATAATGTCTGACTTGTGTTGCCGTCAGTTAGGGGGAGAGTAGGTGTTTTCACACATTTTTAAAGGGATCATTTATATTTTCAATTAAATTCATTTTTTATCTAGTCTTAGATAGAATAGAATGAGAGGGATGAACCCTCTAATGGTCCCACATGCAGAGCACACAGTGACATGTGTTCTCTGCTTTTAACCCATCCTAGCACCAGGAGTCTAGTTCTAGGAGCAGTGGGCAGCTATTGTACAGCGCCCAGGGAGCAATGGGAGTGGGGGTTGTCCGGTGCCTTGCTCAAGGGCACCACAGCAGGGCAGGAGGTGAACTGGGACCTCTCCAAGTAGCAGTCCACACTCCATATGTAGGTCTGTTTGGGGACTTGAACTGGCGACCCTACGGCTCACAGTCCAAGCCCGTGCTGACTGAGCCACTGCCGGACAGTCGAGTTAGTTAATTGCCTTCTAATCCAAACATGTATTTATAAGTAAAATGATTGTTCTTTATTTCTTAAAATCCAATATTTTCCAATTAAAGCAAATATAACAATCCATTAATAAGGACCGTGGTTTTTAAGCAACATTTGAGGATAATAGTATTTTTTTTCATCAGTAAAACAACTTCCTTTCCTCCTCCTTTTCATTCTGAAATGTTTTATTAGCCTATAGTTGAAAAGGTATTTATAATAAGCCATTTAATTCATCAAGGCCATTAGGATGTTAGTAATGATGTGTTCTCGAGTTATGCTTTTAGTCTGTAAATCATATTTTGTTTTTTATATTTTAAGTGTGTTTTAATAATTTTTTAAAGCATATTAAGTGTCTGAGTGTCTCGAAAGCGCTCTATAAATAAAATGCATCATTATTATAATACATGTTAAGGATTAGATTCCTTGAAATAGTTTCCTAATCTCAATATGCATACCTGTTTTTATAAAAGGCTTTTATTATGTTTGATAGCCTACTATGATTACTACTGATTTAAGTGAAATGTATTTTAAGATGTAATTGGGCATCATTTACACGAGTCGTTTAAGGATTTGATTGCTGCCGTTGTCTTCATTTTCTTTCCCATTTATTTTAATAGAATAACAATCCATTCATAATAATAAGCAAGTTTGATAAGACTGGTTTCAGGATGTCAGTATCGGATGTTTTCTTGAGTAATGCCTTTCTTTCTTTCCCATGTATTTTAATGTAATAGAATAACAATCATTTAAGGGTAATCATGTTTCCTCGAGTTCTTTCTTTCCCCATGTTTCTATCCAATCAACGATCGTTTCTCCTCTAAGTCTCCAGGTTCATGAACCCCTCGGGAGGGATGAACATGTCCGGGATGGTGAGCAGTTTGTCCGGCATGGATCCCTGCAACAAGTCCATGGTGACCATGCACGTGAATCCGCGGAGGAAGCGGCGCGTGCTCTTCTCGCAGGCGCAGGTGTACGAGCTGGAGAGGCGCTTCAAGCAGCAGAAGTACCTGTCCGCGCCGGAGAGGGAACACCTGGCCGGGCTCATCCACCTGAGCCCCAACCAGGTGAAGATATGGTTCCAGAACCACCGGTACAAACTGAAGCGGCAGAACAAGGACAAAGTGCCGCAGCAGGAAGGAGGAGGAAACACCGCTGGAGGTCTTTGCGCAACGACGCACCGTTCCTCCTCCGTGTCCCCGGTGCTCTCCAAGACCGGTAAAAGCTGCCAGGATCAGTCCAGCCACACCGGAAACAGACAGGTGGAGGTGGTGATCGCAACAGGAAACCCACTTTCCTCCGCAGAGGTGCTGGAGGATTTGTCCCAAAGTCCGCCGCTCGGCCTTCATGGACAGATCAATATGACGCAGACGGACGCGGCGCTAATCGAGTACACGAACAGCATGATGGGGTCCAATTTACTGTACGGGAGGACTTGGTAGGGACACCGGGAGGAAGAGAGACATTTACCCGTTCTGAGAGGCTTAAATCCCGGGTTGGATTTTCTTTTTTGGGAGGAGAAAGAAAAAACCACCAGACTGTTTTTCTCGTCTTTATACTCACCATAAAAGTCTGGTTCCTTTACGCACAGAGTACACAAACGGCATTATGGGGTCCAATTAACTGTACGGGAGGACTTGCTGGGGACACCGGGAGGAAGAGAGACATTTACCCGTTCTGAGAAGCTTAAATCCCGGGTTGGATTTCTTTTTTGGAGAAAAAAGACGCACAAGACTAGTTTTTTTCCCTCATCATTTCCGTGCGTTGAAGTCGGTTTCCTCTGCGCACCGAGTACACAAACACCACGTTGGGATCCAATGTACTGCACGGGACGACTTGGTAGGGACACCGGGAGGAAGACAGACATTACAAACCCGTTCTCAGAGGCATCAATCCCGGGTTGGATTTGTTATTTGGAGGAAAAGCACCAAGACTGTTTTTGTCTTTTTTTCCATGCGTAAAAGTCTGGTTCCTTTACGCACACAGGGACACTGAAGAGCAATACCGTGCTCAAGAGGAACTGAAAATGACAGCCTTGGACTGAATGTTAATAATCTTCCTCTTTAAAATAATTTGTTTTGTAACTGACAAAATGTGAATGCTGCGGCGTTTAAAGGGGGATGAGCCACTTTCCCTTTTCATCCAATTACGCAAATTAAATTATTGCAGGTTTATAAATAAAAGGTGAAGCAATAGAAGCCGGTTTGAAAACATTATCCCACATATTTTCATTTCAAGTAAATCTTTCATTTTTCTTTGTCACATTTTTGTTTTGAATAAATGATATTTGCATTTTGGATATTTTAACGTTTTGTTGTTGTTGACACTGAAGCATCACTTTCAAAGTTTGAATCTTTAAATGTTATTAATATCCTCATAATTATTAATAACAGCTGCTTTGCAAAAAGACTGATTTTGGATTTAAATGTTTTTTTTTTACTGAAGAAATCTTCAAATGTTCTGCATTTAAACCTTTTTTCAAATATATGTAAGTAAGTGTAAAGTGACATTTAAGGGTGAATTTGAAGTAAGAAAAACCCCTTTATGGGTCAGATAATTCCTGAAAGACAAATAAAACCTGATGATATCATTTTAAAGTAAATATTGAGTTTTATTACGAATTAAAGTCGGTATTCCTGTCCAATTAAGATGACATTTAAGGGGGATTTTAAGTGGAAAAAAGTCCTTTATGGGCGAGATAATTCCTACCAGACACATTAAACCATATAAGATCATTTACAAATGCATCTTGAGTTTTAATACAAAACAAGATCAGATTAAAGCCTTTAGTAGTAATTTAAGTGTGTTTAAGGGTGAATTTAAGTGTTCAATTGAATAAAATGTTAAGGGTGATTTAAAGACAAAGTATTTTATGTTAGCGATAATTCCTGCTGGACAAATATCACTTAATAATAAAAAGAAATATAAATCAACCTTTTTATTTCTTATATTACAGCAGTATTGCCGTCTTAAGTTAAAATGTAAGGGTGCATTTTAAGTGTTGAATTCAAGAAAAAGTCCTCTATAGACAAAATAATTCCTGTCTGACAAATATCACTAAATAATAAAATCATAAAAAAGGAATCTTGATTATATTGAGAATTTAAAGTCTGTATTTCTGTCCAAGTCAGAATTTAAGGGTGAATTCAAATATTAAATTTAATTCAGTTTTAAGGGTGATTTAAAGGGGAAAAAAGGCCTTTATAGATAAGATCATTCCTGTCAGACAAATATCACTTAATAATAAAATATATTGTAATTTTTTAAAAAAGATTTAAAGTTGGTATTTTCTGTCAAAAGTTAACATTTAAGGGTGATTTTAAGGGGAAACCAGGCCCTTTAAGGGTGAGATAATTCCTGCTGGACACATATAACTTAATAATACAAGATAATAATGTAATAAAAAATGAAAGAATCTTGATCATATCGAGGATTTAAAGTCTCTATTTCTGTCAAAAGTTAACATTTAAGGGTGATTTTAAGGGGGAACCAGGCCCTTTAAGGGTGAGATCATTCCTGCTGAACACATATACCCCACATGAGTGTTATTCTTTTATTTCACATGCTTATCTTACGTTTTAAACACAGGAACCTCCGGGAGAGATCTGCCTAAAGTATAAACACAGCGGGACTCAGTCCGGGACACACTTGTATTTTCACAAGGTCTAAAAAAAAAATAATCACATTTTCATATTACACGTTTTTTTTTTTGTGGATAAAAAGAAGAAAAAAACACAACAACAAATTAAATTGTACAATTAAGACAATTCTGACATTTCTCCCCTAAAAAACAGACGCAAAGTCCCGAAAGACTCGAGTTTGAGCTCAGTTGTTCCAGTCGTATCTCCTGGAGGGAGGGGGGGGCCGGGAACCCTCTGGAGCCGTAGCCCTGGAACACAAAATAAACAAGAATTAGTGAAAATTAAACCACAGATAGATTTGTGACTAAATGTTTTGGTGTAACTCCAGCCGGCGTTTAAATCCATCCGAACCAAAAGCGATGTTATTCAGAGTCAAAGACAGGTGTTTATTTTATGGAAGAGGATGAGGGCCTGACACGTGAAGAGCATTTTGAGAGCCGACCAAAAAAACGGACATTTTATTTTTTGAATTCTGAGGGAAAAAAGTGGGAATTCTGAGAACGAAAAGTCTGAATTCTGAGAAGTTGGAAATCTGAGATTAAGGTCGGAATTCTAGGAAAGAAGATTTTAGTCAGTTCTCAGAAAGACAAAATTCTCAGACAAAAATAAAACAAAAAAATCCCCCAAATCTCAGAATCCTAGTTTTTTCTATTTGTATCGGGCAAACCAAACTTGTCTTTATGTTTTAGTTCTGACCTACAAAAAAGTCCAGACTTTAAAAAAACTAAATGATCAATAAAACTCTCAAATCTCAGAATCCTAATAAATAAGTTTTTTTATTTTAAGTAAAATTCTTAATTGAAAAAAAACAAAACGTCACTTTTGGTCAGATCTAAAAGAAGAGTGTTCACATGTGGCCCTAATCCTTCCGTACCATTTACCGGGCATATTAATGCAACGTTTTTATAGACGACTTCTCTGGAGTTCATTGAAATCAAACTCTGGATTAGAAAGAGTTTTATGTTTCTGAGATATCAACTTTCTCATCATCCTATATTTAGTTTTTGAGCCCCTGATTTCCTTAAATTACAATGAAATAAAAAACCTACTTAAAAGAGTTAAAGATAATTTTACAACTGATAACTTCAGTGCCTCTAAAGACTTTATTACAGTGTCTCGCTTATGACCTTCTAAAAACACGAATAACAGAGTAAGTCGAATCTAATAGGTGTTATTTTCAGCGTGTGTACCTGATGGTGTTGTCCCCGGTTCTCTCTCCGGTCATCGAACCCCTGCTGGTATCCTCCCGGCTGCTGAGGAGGAGCCGCCCCCCCGCGGCTCTGGTTCTGCTGGTTCTGCTGGTTCTGCTGGTACGCCGAGCCCTGAGCCTGCGTGGCTCGATTCCAGCCGTGACCCCCGCTGCCGCTACCATACGGCTGCTGCTGCTGCTGCTGCCTACACACACACACACACAGAAACACACACCTGTTAACACTCCTGACAAGGTCTCACATCAAAAGATATTCAGAGTTTCTGTCTGAAGAGGAGATAAAGACCTCGGGAAGTGAAGGAAGCATCCCTGAATCTGTTAAACACTTGAGTAATATTTTATGCAATTCACGCCATTAAATCCAGAAACACTACTAAAGTAAATTAGCATATGTTCTATTATTGAAAGGGGCGGCATAGCGATGTATTTACTGGAGTTGAAAGTCAGGCAGACGTAAAAAGAGTGAAAAGGAAATCATTTGAACACAGAAAGAGAAATAGTGGAAAAAGCTCCAATGACTGGATTCTCTAAAGTCAGATTTGACAGCTTTCTCAGTTTGATATTTATTTAAACTAAATATTGCTGAGTTACATTTCATCACAGGTCACTTGTTAGACGCTTTTATCCAAAGCGACTTACATACTCAATACTGTGGGCGATCCCCACGGGAGCAATTTGGGGTGAAGTGTCTCAGGGACACAACGACATGCTGACTGCAGTGGGGTTTGAACCTGTGCCCCCTGATCCCAACACCTACGGACAACCCACTGCGCCACACACCCCCAGTTGTTGGACTGCCAGTCAAACAGCAGGACGTTTTAAGCAGTCAGGTTTCATCTGCAAAATGATGAATAAAACAAAGACTAGCAGCTCTTAAAAGTAACTTGAGACTGAGCTTTTCCACATCAGGAAACGTCTGACTGACTTCCTTCTACAAATCTCTCCTGGACTCTGATTTGTGTTTTCATTCATAAAATACTTTTCTCCACTCGAGGAACTAAGATGTGTCCAGCCGACTGTTTGGAACGTTTCCTCATCATTTCCCCCAAATCTTTACACATTTTTGGGGATATTCTTCAGACTTCAGGTTGTGCTCGTCGCCCAGTTTGATCTGCATCATATTCTATAAGCTCCTATTTCCAGCCCAACTTACGAAACCTCAGGACCTTTTCATCTAAAACGTGACCTCGGCCTCTTCTTTAAAGTGACCTCCCATCGTCGAGCGTTTACCGAAAGGCCTTCGCTCTCGAGGACATGCAAACCGCCTCGTCTCTTCAGATGACTTTGCAAAGAAAGCGGCGAGTATGAAACGAACCAATCGGATCGCCTTCATCTCTAAGATAAAGCGAGGCAGGACGCAGTTCTTCCGTGGGATTGAGCGCAAAGTCTCCGCGGCACAATGTGTGAAAAGCAACGTGATATAATTCTTTAAAATGAGGAATTTGTATTTTGGAATGTTCTGGTACATGGATATTTCTCCTAAGTGTATTGGACTGTATTATTGTAATATGTAGGATGACCTTATTTATATACACAACCCATATTTTATTTTATTTGTGTTATACCTGTGTTACTTACATTCTCAGTGTTATTATTGATTTGATATATTTATTTATTTATTCCACACATGGAAGTTATTTTAAAACAAAACACTTGTACTGGTTTTATGTTTTATAGCGCATGGTGAAAAGGAGCATTTGATTTCTAAACATTTCGTTTCTCATGTAGTTGAATTTTTAGGATTTGAGACCTTCTACATGTTGTGAGTTAAAGAAACTATTCACACATTTAAATCTCAAAAATCTCCTTTTTTCAAATATGTTAAAGTGTAAAGTGAAATTTAAGGGTGAATTTGAAGTAAGAAAAAGTCCTTTAAGGTTCAGATAATTCCTGAAAGACAAATAAAACCTGATATATCATTTTAAAAGTAAATAGTGCGTTTTATTACAAATTAAAGTCGGTATTCTCGTCCAATTAAGGTAACATTTAAGGGCGATTTTAAGTGTTGGAGTACTATTGGATGTAAAGGGGAATGTCTGACCCCTTGTTAAAGAAACCTATATAACCCATCTTTTTTTTATTTGTGTTATACCTGTGTTATTATTGATTCCGATTTCATATTCTCATGTTTAATTTGTAGGATTTGAGACCTTAACCATGCTGTGACCCCTCGTTAAAGAATCTAAATTGGAGTACTATTGGATGTAAAGGGGAATGTGAGAAACTAATAAAGAACAAGTTTAAAAACCGAAAAAGGAGAATCCCTCATTACTGAACCAAGTCACACTCCTCAGATTCAACCGGTAATCCCCTCTCCTCCAAGTTCCTCCTGCTTTTCATTCACTCCCGTGCCGAGTAGTTTTTTTGAAACTGTGTCCGCTAATAACTACTGACCCGAGGTGACGCGGAGCCACAATGGGCCTGGACAAGTTAAAACTGATGAGGAGTGGAGAATCAATAGCAGGACGGCATCAGTGACGCCTCATTAAGCTGCACCAACTCCTCCAGAGAAATGCGGTTCAGAGCGCCGAGAGAAATCTTAAAAATCAAAAGCCCCGAGGGGAGAAGAGCCGCTGCGAGAATTAACAAACGAAACAAGGCCGGGACATGTTTGATGCTCTGGGGTTTGTGAAAAGAGAACCTGAAGACGGACTTGTTTTCGCAAAAATAGGCACACAATAAAACGTTCTGAAGATTTGAAAGCATTGGCGAACAATCTGGATTCTTACAGCTAAAGGAAAGTTAGATACAAACCTTTTTTTTAATGTACGACCGATTTAATGCACAGTTTCTCCAGATTTAATGCAAAAATAATGATCATAAAAAATTACCACTAAAAGGCGTTTTAGAAATAGATTTGAGATATTTTGACACCATTGAAGGCCTTATTTCGTGAACGAAAACTATGACGAACATTTTCCGTCTTCATGACTAAGACGAGACGATGACGAGCTAAAAATAGATTCTTGATAATAAAAACGATGACGAAATGTATATTTAGTTTTCGTTGACGAGACTAAGGTGTTAACGGTGGACTATCGGACATTCAAAATGCAGTGTCCGTCTTGTCTTATTGTTTACGCTCTCTTCACTCCAGAAGAGCGATCCCTCTGGATATTTCTCAATCTCGAGGACGCTTGCTTGGTAGCACATGTCTTCCGAGTCACTTGCTTCAGAAGCGAGGCAAGAACACTTCCTGGTAATTGGAAAACGAAGAGTGGAACAGACTAGCAAGTGTGCAGGTGTGCGTCATATGAGAGGCACCGCCTTACATTTTCCGCCACAGATTTGGGGAAATTGGTCCGTGCGCAAAGCATTGTGGGGATTTTAAGACCGGAGTATACACATGTGCAGCCTCGACATTTCTCCAAACGAAGTACGCCGGGCTCGGTAGAGTTCCAAGTATGCTGGAGATTGGAACAGTCCTTCGGCGGCACTCAATGACGTAGTATGCTTGAAATAGTGGCTCTGGAGCAGCTTTACTCGACATTGAGAAACACCCCTTGTCTCGTCTGTGTGCGGGGGCGGGGCCTCTGTCTCGTTTGTGTGCGGGGGCGGGGCCTCTGTCTCATCTGTGTGCGGGGGCGGGGAATCTCTATCTCATCTGTGTGCGGGGGTGGGGCCTCTCTATCTCATCTGTGTGCGGGGGCGGGGCCTCTGTCTCTCTGTGTGCGGGGGCGGGGCCTATGTCTCTGTGTGCGGGGGCGGGGCCTCTCTGTCTCATCTGTGTGCGGGGGCGGGGCCTCTCTGTCTCGTCTGTGTGCGGGGGCGGGGCCTCTCTGTCTCGTCTGTGTGCGGGGGCGGGGCCTCTCTGTCTCGTCTGTGTGCGGGGGCGGGGCCTCTCTGTCTCGTCTGTGTGCGGGGGCGGGGCCTCTCTGTCTCGTCTGTGTGCGGGGGGCGGGGAATCTCTGTCTCATCTGTGTGCGGGGGCGGGGCCTCTGTCTCATCTGTGTGCGGGGGCGGGGCCTCTCTGTCTCATCTGTGTGCGGGGGCGGGGCCTCTCTGTCTCATCTGTGTGCGGGGGCGGGGCCTCTCTGTCTCATCTGTGTGCGGGGGCGGGGGAATCTCTGTCTCATCTGTGTGCGGGGACGGGGCCTCTCTGTCTCATCTGTGTGCGGGGGCGGGGCCTCTCTGTCTCATCTGTGTGCGGGTGCGGGGAATCTCTGTCTCATCTGTGTGCGGGGGCGGGGCCTCTCTGTCTCATCTGTGTGCGGGGCCTCTCTGTCTCATCTGTGTGCGGGGGCGGGGCCTCTCTGTCTCATCTGTGTGCGGGGGCGGGGCCTCTCTGTCTCATCTGTGTGCGGGGGCGGGGCCTCTCTGTCTCATCTGTGTGCGGGGGCGGGGCCTCTGTCTCATCTGTGTGCGGGGGCGGGGCCTCTGTCTCATCTGTGTGCGGGGGCGGGGCCTCTGTCTCATCTGTGTGTGGGGGCGGGGCCTCTGTCTCATCTGTGTGTGGGGGCGGGGCCTCTGTCTCTCTGTGTGCGGGGGCGGGGCCTCTCTGTCTCATCTGTGTGCGGGGGCGGGGTCTCTCTGTCTCATCTGTGTGCGGGGACGGGGCCTCTCTGTCTCATCTGTGTGCGGGGGCGGGGCCTCTCTGTCTCATCTGTGTGCGGGGGCGGGGCCTCTCTGTCTCATCTGTGTGCGGGGGCGGGGCCTCTGTCTCATCTGTGTGCGGGGGCGGGGCCTCTGTCTCATCTGTGTGTGGGGGCGGGGCCTCTGTCTCTGTGTGCGGGGGCGGGGCCTCTGTCTCATCTGTGTGCGGGGGAGGGGCCTAACAGACACACTGCAGCGGTGTGCACACAGATTTTTTAATAGTAGTACCGTTAAAAACCTTAACGGTACCCATCCCTAGATATCACAAGTAAAGTGTTAAGAGAGTGAAACGTTGCTTTACGAGATGCCTGTATTTGCCGAACTTAATTAGTGTAAAGAGAGAAAACCTGTTGACTAAAACTATGAAGGATAAAAATGACTAAAATGTGACTAAAACTAATAAACCTTTTCGTCTAAAGACTAAATCAAAAATAGCTGCCAAAATTAACACTGCTTATTTGTAGCTGCTCTTTAAGCTTCTTTAAAATGCAACTTGTGATGACCAATGTAACATGTAATTTCTCCGCTATGTGGATATAATGCAACTTCAGAAAAGGGAGAAGCCTGACCCATGTAAAGGTGGAGAAGTTCAAGAAAAACTATATTAAAAAAAGGCACAAAATGTTACTTTCTAAAGAGGTTTTATTTATTTTTGTATCCATAAAAGAATTGATTTAACCAAAGTAATAAAACATCACAAAATCCTATTTCTTACGTCTTGAAAACAGATTGATTTCAGACACTTTAATAGCATGTAAGGAGTGATTTTTAAATCCATGAATTCAAGGCCTTTCCAATAATCAGCTGTTATTGGAAATGTTTGTGTAAGACATAAAAACAGCAAAAAAAAGATACTTTTTAAAGAGTCCTTGCCTGACAACGGAACACACACCAAATTAATTTAAAAAAACAACGTTCCCTTGTTTTCTTATTGGATAGGTGTTCATATCCAACCTTACCGTAGATCTACAACGTCACTGTTTTTATTCTGTCGTTTACTTTATAGAACGGACAAGTCAAATCAAGCAATCTGATTGGTTCTTAGCCGTGACATAATGAGCGTATATCATATTTAAGACTTTTTAGACCCTGCGGGAACCCTGATATATATATTTTTGGTTTTGTTTCAACCATTTTACTCAGTAGCACTTTTAGTTTTGTTTATATATATTATTACTTATTCTGTATATTTTAGACTTTATTCTTAATTATTCTGTATATTTTACACTTTATTCTCAATTATTTTAGACTTTATTCTTAATTATTCTGTATATTTTACACTTTATTCTCAATTATTTTAGACTTTATTCTTAATTATTCTGTATATTTTACACTTTATTCTCAATTATTTTAGACTTTATTCTCAATTATTCTGTATATTTTAGACTTTATTCTCAATTATTCTGTATATTTTACACTAATAAAACCGTTTTACTCTGTAGCACTTTGAGTTTTGTTCACTCAAATGACAAGTCGCTTATAAATCCAATAGATTGTTATTATAAGCAAAGAGGGGAATTCCAGCACAAAAACATTGGACTTATTTCAAAACACAGCCCAGAAAACACAGATTTAAGTTAAGGGAAGACTCACCGAGGGTACTGGGGCTGCTGGTAGGACGGAGGCGTTCCCAGTAAGCTGTTCTGCCGGGGATCTGCAGGAACAAAAGAGAGTGCGATCAGAGGAGGCCGTGCGGAGACAAGTCTCAAGTTTTTAGAGAAACAAAGAGGACTGAGAATAGACAGGAATGTGTTTTTAAATCACTTCATCATGTGATTACTAGGGCTGAACGATTAATCGATTTTAAATCGAAATTTTAAATGATGCGGTTATTTTTTTTAAAACACTTTTCCTTGTGTGTCAGTCATCCACACCAATCAGAAGTGCTGTGCTCCACATGTACCAGCCATTGTTAACCAATCAGAAGTGGCCCATGATAGAAGGTGATAGACAGATTGATCCAATCACCTGCCCTTTCCAAATGGCTTCCAATGGAGCTTTAGATGGTTTGGTGAACCATCTGAGTCAGGTTAGTAATGCTCCATCACGTGTTTCTATTACAGGGTGAATCTGAAACTGAAGCGTGACTTTAAAGCAACCCAACGGAGGTTTCATGTAAGTTTAGTTCTTTCACTCGTAGCTCGGGCTGCGGGGGTGCTAGAGACGGGAGCACGTTGATGCGACCTTCCTAGCCGGAGATATGGCCGCATTTTACAATAAACTTCCGTTGGGTCGCTTAAAAACAAATATCGCAATATCTGTCAGAAAAATCGCAATAAGATTATTTCCCCAAATCGTGCAGCTCTAGTGATTACCTATAAGTGATAAGGGGGATGAAACTTTAGAAATACTTCACATCATTTTAAGGTATAAAACCTGAGAAAATCATCGTGTTTTATCGTTAAAAACACATAACGTGAAGGATTTGACTTCAAACATGGATACGAATGAACCCAAATCAGCTGTTTCCTTTGTAGATAACAATAAAAAAACTTCCATTTCTCTCATGGATGCAGAATAAATGATAACATTAATGTCTTTCAAACGGAGGATGGATGGAGGAGGGGAGGCGAGGGAGAAAAGCAGCAGCAGCTCCTCTACATTTGCATTTTTTGTTCAGAAAATGAAATAAGCATTCAGCCGGCAGCATTGTGGACGCCTCAAGTACTCGGGTCCATCGCTGCGGACCCTTCACAAAGACACACTTAAAAAAAATAAAAAAAGGAGCTAACGGCTTCTTCCAGACCCACTGTTGCCAAGGGGATGACCAGCTGCCGTTAGTTTACAAGGGGCCGTGTGTGTGTGTGAGTGTGTGTGTGTGTGTGTGTGTGTGTGTGTGTGTGTGTGAGAGAGAGAGAGAGGAGAAGTCTGTGTAAGAATCAGGATTTGACCGATTTTGAAGCATTCGATACAGAGTGGGATGCACATTTTATTAAACATGTTATTTTAAATGCTCTGTGGGTTTTATATATTTTAATCCAACTTATTCTGTATCTTTTAGACTTAATTCTTAATTATCCTGTATATTTTTAGACTTCATTATAAATTATTTTGTATATTTCACACTATATTCTCAATTATCCTGTATATTTTTTGACTTTATTCAATAATTATCCTGTATATTTTAAGCCAAGTCCCCAGACTGACCTACTTTTGCCAAAAATGCCCACCTGCAGCAATCAAACTGCGCTAATTAGCTTAACATGGCTATGCTAACACGCTAAATGAGTCAACACACCTGCTAAACATCCCCATGTTAGCACGCTAATGTTAGCATTCAAACACAAGTACCCCAATTACCGAGAACTATCCGACTCTAAAGTTTTGTTTTTCTCTGTGTGTCGAACTCTCGTCGACTGACTAAATGTTTGAAGTCCCTAAATTTAAAAGCTAAAACAGCTGATTTGAACAATTGGAGTGACATTCGGTAAACAGCTGGGACATTTAGAGAAAGATATAGCCTTATTTTAACCAAATACTTCAACATTTCAACCATTTTGTTTGGTTGATCGTTGGTGCTTTCACACAATACTCAAGATTTTGTCTAATAACCACCAGTAATGTGGATATACTGAATATGTGGGAAAGGGAAAATAAAATAAAAAGCAGCTAAAGAAAACAGATTTTTACTCTCAATAGGCGCTTTCACACCAAGTACTTTGCCGTACTTAGTTCCCAGTACTTAGTCTCGCCGAACTCTTTAGTCCCTGAACTATCTAGCAGATCGCGTTCACACCGGAATAAGTTCCCTGAGGGAGTATTACGCAAATGAAGCCACTGACGTCACTACTTCTTCTTCTGCTTTGGGTTTACTGGCAGAGCGCAAACCACTTCACGGCGTATACTGCCACCCGGAGTCCCCGGCCGGAAGTCCCCGGAGTTGGGGAAGGCTTCAGTAGAAGCTGCTGGGACTCCCAGCAGCTTCTACTGAAGCCTTCCGAGTAAATCGCCAGAACGCCGACACCTCCTCATCTCCACCGCTCCCACGTTTTCTTTTGGGTTGCCATAAGTTAGTCTCTCTGCGTTTGTGCGCTGGGCTAATGCTAATAATGCTAATGATGCTAATGCCAGCAAATAAAATGGCAGCTTCACAAAACTTTTCTGAGTTTTACGGGGTGTGGTTTGCAATTCGACCAGCCAATCAGAAATTGGAACTTTTTTCTCCCCAGGAAAGTACCACCTCTCTTGCAGGGACTGAAAACAGGGGAAAAGGTTCCCGATTTTTTTTGTGTGAACGCAGAATCCCAGGAACTATTCCAGGGGAAAGTGTTGAGAACCAGGAACAGAAATCACTTAAGCCATTTATATACAATATCCAAGACGGTATCTAGTGTCATATATATATATATATACACACACACAATATAATGTCGATATATTGCACAGTTTTAAATCTGTTAATACTTGTTTAAACAGTTAATTTAAATGTAAAAGTCTTCATCACAGAGTGCATTTTAGGACATAGAAATAGAATAAAGTGTGAAATATACAGGATAAGTAAGAATATAGTGTTAAGTATAAAGAATAAAATAGGAAACTTTTCAATTTAAATGAATTGTTTGAACAAGTAGGATTCACAAAACTGGACTCAACGCAAATAAATAAAAATGGTGTTACAGTACTATCCTCCTGTAGATAAGCTGCACAAAATGAATTAAGTATAACATGTCCCTGCAGGTTAACAGATCTGATATCAGGAGGGTCTAAAACCTTTTGGACACTAATGGGAGACTCTTCAGCATTTCACAACTCACGATAAAACATAAAAATGGAAGAAAAATCCTGAATTAAATTTGATTTAGGACGTGATATTGTCATCATACAAAGTACAACAAAATGTCTTTGGCAACTCTCACTGCAGTAAAAAATAGACAAATAAATAAGAGGTAAAAGAGGGCGACTGTGGCTGCGAGGGAGTGCGGTCGTCTTTCAACCAGAAGGTTGTGGGTTCGATCCCAGCCCGTGCAGTCGATATATCTTTAGGCAAGACACTTAACCCTGAGTTGCTCCCGATGGCCAACGGTGTGTGAATGTTAGGTCCTAGAGTAAGGTACACTGCTCTGTGTGAATGGGTGAATGACATGTATTAGGTAAAGCGCTTTGAGGGGTCTTAAAGACTGGATAAAGCGCTATATAGGGACGGGTGGCGCAGTGGTCTGTGCGTTTGATCATCAGATCAAGGGGGGTGCTGGGGAACTCCAGTTCGAAACCCGCTCCCGCCCCACTGCGTCAGGCCGTTGTGTCCTTGGGCAAGGCACTTCACCCGAATTTGCTCCTGTGGGTATTGTCCACAGTAGATGACCATTACATGTATGATCTGTATGTGTAATGTGTATCTGTAAAGCGCTTTGAGAGTCATTGATAAAGCACTATAATAAATATAAGGATTATTATTATTATTATATAAGTACAGTCCATTTACCATTTCAAAGCAGAGGTAGTTGCGATGACAGAGCAACGAGATCAAATTCAATGTGAAATTAGACAGAAAAACATACACATGACTAAAGAAAAACACCGTCAATGACCAGAAAGGAAGGGAGAAATAGATGCATAATGAACTTAGAAGATGCTAAATGACATCAGAGAGATCCAGAGTTACGACACAAATATGCAAAATGACCAAATTAGACAAAATATAACCAATAACGTGCAGAGTGGTAACAGCAGAGGTAGTAGCGATGAAAGTGCAACGAGATAAAACTCAATGTGCATATTTACACCTAACGCTACATTTACAAAACTGTATGAATGTAGTGGGTTTCTAACTGTGTTCATAAAGGGTTTTAGTACCCAAAGGATGGAGGTCAAATAGCCATAAATATTTCTAAATAGTCAACCCAGTCTCACGGCATTTTGTGTTATAGTCACGAAATGTAATCTATTGATTCGTGTTCACCAACACCATTTTCCCGTCACACAGAACGATTTAAAAGCAATGTATTTATATTGGTAGTATGTTTCGTGCCTGCGCCAAATAATAACAAATTAGAAGGAAACAAATATTTTTAAAATACAGATTTCAGTATTCTGAGTAGGGCTGTCCCGAATACCATTTTTCGGGCTCCGGATATTCGGTAGCTATCAGCAGCGAATATTCGAATATTCGGCCCGCGCGAAGCGAACCGCTTCAACGCGTGTATTTCGGTTTATTCATGGCATTAATTTAGTTATTCTACAGTATTGTAGTTTTATAGTTATTAACCCAATTTGTGTTCTTTGAAATTGAAAAGGATATCGCATTGTGTGTGTTACTTTCGATGCAGTTGTATTTGTCTTAAGTGTAATTTGGCTTGGCTTCCTATTTTGTATTGACATGCTTTTATTTTGAAGGAGAGGTAGAGCTGTTGTTGGAAGTTGTTGTTGCTATGGAAACAACGTGACAGAGATTAACGGAGAAAAAGTTATATCTACATATAAAGACGGAGAAAGTAAACGATAACGTGTATGGTTAAGTGTTAGCACCCCCCGAAGAGGCACAAGCTCTTACGTTGATATTGGAGATTTCAATAAATTCAATTTGAGAGAAAAAACGGGGAAAAAACAAACAAAACGAATAACGAAATTGAAACCCGAATAGTACTCCAACGAACGAATATTCGGATATAGCCCTAATTCTGAGGCTCATTTATTTTCCTCGCGGACGGCAAAAAA